ACCCCATTCTAATTATTCAGGCCCCCGCAGTAGGAAACCGCCTCTGGAGTTGCCTTTGCCTTCTGGTATGTAGAAGAACCAGAGCCATGTGGCCGAGTCGGACGTGAGTTTTGGCTGGGGCGACATCTTGCGCTGATTGCTTTGCTACATCAGTGCGCATCGATTTGGGGGCTGATGTAACTTTCATCCCAGGTAGGTTTCATTTTTCCGAAAACAGCACGAGTTCAAAGATTCGTAGGAGGTAATGCGCAGCAGAAAGGGCCGGTAATTAGATAAGGCACAGCCTCAGTTTAGAACGGCCACCCGTTGAAAACCGTCGAAATAAAAGACAAGCCTTTCACNNCACACACACACACACACACACCTCGTACAAATCGAGCCCCCCGAAGCAGCCAGCCCTCAGACCCCAAGATCGATGAAACCTCCGCCCCAGCTCGAAATGATCTCCGACAATCTGCAGATCGCATCTTCCAGATGAATGGATAAGAGATGGAGGGCTTTAGCTCTAGAGATACCCCAGGCCCGACCGCTCGTAGTCGCCGGACTGTCGGATCTCATGTTGCGGCCAGTGGTGGCTTCAAAATTTGGAGCCTGGGGCGCTCTCAACCGAATAATCCTCAGCGAACCTCCACCAGCAGAGGTCTTCTACCGCATGATGATCTTTGCCATTATTGGTGCATCGTTGATGTTTGCACCCTGGCAGTCGTTGGTGGTGATATCTGACCGTCGATGTGGGCTAGGCGTAAAGTCCGTTCTTCTGCTGTGCAGCAAGCCAGTTGGCCCTTGTTGTGAAGATTCCTCACTGTAGTTTCCGTTGCTTTCCAGGAGATCTTTGTAGGATCGGCCTTTCAGCACATGCCATCAAACCCTCGTGTCCTACCGCGGTCTTAGTTTTTTTTTTTTTTTTTTTTTCGCGTGGCCTTTTCGTTCTTGATCTCTCGAACGAGTCAGATGCCATACTTTTCCATTAGGAGGTGGCCCAAATCATCGGAAAAAACACATGCACACTGCAGCAAATGCCACCATACAGGAAATCAGCCACGATCATAGATGCACATCCGTCGACAATACATATCCTGATCAATCCGCGTGCGAGCTAGTGGATAGCTCTCTAAATTGTGGTTTTCCCCTCGGCTCTGGCTCTGGCTCTGGCTCTGGCTCTGGCTCTGGCTCTGGCTCTGTCTGTCTGTCTGTCTG